AAAGGGGGGGGCAGTTAAAAAAAAAAAAAAAATTGTTGATTATAAAATAAAAAAAAAAAAAAAAAAAAAAATAGTTTGGTAGGTGTAAAAAAAAAAAAAAAAAAAAAAAAAAAAAAAAAAAAAAAAAAAAAAAAGTGGTGGTATTTGTGGGAAAGAAAAAAAAGAAAAAAAAAAAAAAAATTATTTTTCAAAAAAAAAAAAAACCAACATTAATATTAAATAAAAAAAATGATAAAGAAAAAAAAAGGTTTGGTTTTTTTTTTATAAAAAGAATAAAAAATTAAAAAGTAATTAAAAAAAATAAAATAAAAAAAAAAAAAAAAAAAAAAAAAGAAAAAAAAAAAAAAAAAAATTAAATAGTGTTGGGCAATATGTCGTTGACTACGTTCCACAAGGGATTATTCTTGCACCTATTTTCCTCATTAAACAGAAAAGTACTACCATACTAGGTTAATTGTCTTGTTAACTCATCATAAAGGACACTTCATTAAAACAGGGACAGAAATTAAATAAAACTCAACAAAACAGTCTTGGTTAGTCTTTCTAATGTTCTAACAATAAACAACTCTAGTTTGGGGGTCAGGGGTTAACTTCCAAATAAATCCTGAATTCACAGAGTCAGATGTGAATATATTCTGGCTGTAAACACTGTTTGTCCCCTCTGCCTCTCTCTCAGTTGCTGGAATGTGCCACTGGGTTAGCTTGCTTGAATGAGAGTCTGACGCTGAGCATTCTCTGGAGGCAGACCATTAAATTAGCTAAATAAAAGGACAAAGATTGGCCAAAAAAACCCAACCGATGATAGCCTCAGACAATCGCCTATAGCCAATATATTCGTCCAATCACCCACCTCTACTTGCTAGTGCCTAAAAGAGAACAAGTGTGTTACAAGTCAGTGTGTCCTCTGTGTGTTTGTTAAACTATGAATCAGGCCCCAGAATGGACAAATGTTTTCCGCTGTGAATCCCCATGTGCCAAAATGAGCAACATCTTTTCATCAGTGTGAAGGCCAAAATAGGTGTGTTTTTTTTTTGTGTTTTGTTATTTTTTTGTTGAGAAATTTTAGTGTTCACCTGTTTCACATTATCAGTATGAACTGTAACAGTGAGAAAATCACTACAGGCCACAACATTTTTCACCAGTTGTTTGTTGAAGTGTCCAGAATAACATTTACCAGACATTTTCAAAATACACGCCTTCAGTATTCTGTCAGCTGTCAAACTGTGGGAGGAGGTTAGCACATAAAAACTAGTGCCAACAAACAAAATAAAAAAACATTCCCTTCCTTCCTCATTTTTCTTCTGTCCTTTATTTCACAGGCTTAATCCTGATAAAGAATAGGTTTATCTTTGAGGCAGAAAAGAAGACAAACCGGCAATATGACATTGAGGCGTGAAACCAAAATTACCCTCAAGTTGTACTGCCACAGCTTGAGTGTCCTCACCATTTGACATTCCTTTCATTCCACAATTTATCCTTGAGCTTGCCTCATTGCGTTTTGGCAATGTGTGTCATGCTACCGGTGAACCACTTGCCTTGGCACATTTTATTGTTGGCTCCATCCGTCAGTGCAGGAAGATGGTAGGAAAGGAAGGAAGAGGGTAGTGAGCTACATTGCAAAACTGTCGAATAGTGGTATCAAAAACGAGAGACTTTTTTAGAATGAGAGAATGACAGATTATGCTTGGGTGCATTTTTTTTGTATAGATCAGCTGTTTACGATATTTCACTATTTCAGGTTAGGAAGTTTTTTTCCAATGCAGGCCACTGTAGATTGCCAGCTTTTAGGAGATCAAAGAGCATTTTAGATTACAGGCCACATCTTAAACTAACTATCATTATTATAGATATAGTTTAAATGTTTTTTTTTTTTATTGGGGCTTTAAGGCTGTGTTACAGATATTAAAGTCACTTGACTGTTAAATCTCAGAGGAATTAGCTCTGACTGCCTGGCCTCATAGCCACATTGCTAATACAGTGTATTGTTTTTTTATCAGAGACCATATCACCCAACCCTAGTTTATTATAAAGGTACTTCTATGGTAAGATTGTATGGGAGAGGTGAGGTTAATGCAGGCAGATAATGTTTGACCTGTTTTTGCATGTCTGCCTAGTTCATTTGTCCTGTTCCTCTCTGGTTCGCTGTTGTATCCCTGTCGTATTCAGGTCTCAGGAAACTGTATCTGTTTCATAGTGTGACGCTGTTTCTTTTGTGTAGATCCAGTATACTGTTTCAGCCTGAGCTTCCACTGCATACGGTCCTCAGACAGTCTCAAGGCCTTCATTGACAGTATAAAAGCTTTTATTCATTGGTTCTTAAGTCATTTTTTTCCTAGCTAATGAAGTCAGTTACCATCAGTCAGTCAGTTACCAAGGTAGTAAGTCACACATAAAGACAACCTAAAAAGGTTGTCACTGTGAAGAAGATTTAGAGTTAAAAAAAATAAAATAAAAATCTGTTTGCTTTATGCTGTCCAATCTGGGTGATCTAGTCTCTCAGCAATCTGGCCATATTCTGTCCACCTAGGGAGTTTATTTAGGTTTATGTAACTAAATGAGTTCTATTTGTGTCATTTGTTTAATTCATTTTAATTCCAGATAAGATCCAATCCCTTGTCCAGTGTTACTCTGCGTCTCGCCAAATGCATAGTATCAAGTGGGATGGGCTGAAGACTATCCCATCATGCATTGAATAAAGTAGTACTATCTACTTCACACAGATGAATTAAGCTATGCTGTTACTTATCTTTATATGCCATCATGTATATCATTGTAATGGTTAGGTAAAGTGACTGTTTGGACTATACACCGCAGTCAGTTATCATTAAATCTATATAGCACATAGGTGATAATTCACTTTTAAGTGAAACCCTGTAACCACACATAACAAACAGGAAGTGATTGTGCATGACGAGACTTCCTGTAGCTTAGCTTTCTGCCTGGGTCACTGTTACCATGAAAAGTTGAATGTTTGGAGAAGATGCCAGCGCTCATAGTGATTTTAGTCTCTTTGGATTAATGTCTAATGTTATGTTATAGTTTAGGACATTGGCTTAGTTGTTGTTTTATTCATGTGCTGCTTGAGCCCTGAAGTGTAAAACATATAGTCAAATATACATTTACAAATCAGTTTTGTTTAGTTCATTATTTTCAAATTCTGGGATTTCCAAATGAATGGCACTTTTATCAGATTATTGACTGCATCACTATTGTTTGACCACAGTGTGGCAGCAAAGCACTGTCACTGAGGTGTATCCCTGTAGTCAGACCAGAAGAAGAAGCTTCCAGTTTTGCAACCAGTCTGCCAGTCTCCCCACAGTGACTGAGTCCCTTCTTGTTCAGGAAGTTGTTGACTGCTGGCATCTTCAGTGCTGTGTGTAAGTGTATGCCTTTGTGTACCTGTGCCATTTACATGTGGTTGTGGGTAAGTGTTTCTGTATATATTTGGCAATACAGTGAGTAATTGTGTTTTTAGGGGCCTATTGATTGGAAATGTAGCCATGAAACCATAATGTCAGTTTTGGGTGTAATGAATGGTTTCTCTTGAATGTAGACCTAAATCAAGTGCAGTGGGCACTGAGGAAGCAAAGCAAAACCAACCTAGCTCAGCAATGAATTTAAGATGTTGAAGTATCTTGTTGTTCTGTATTCAGCATGAATTCATGGACAGAATTTTTGCCACTCTAGTTGCTGTGCTGGTGGACTAAACTGTTTTTTTAGTTGAAAGATAACTATCAGGAGATTGTTGTCTTACCTACAATTAAATCTGTGAATGGCTCTAATGGGGGCAGTTTGTATGGTTCTATCATAGTTTATATGATTTGTATCTGATATTTCTGACTGTTTTAATTGGAAGTAAAGGCACCACAAACACACCAGTAACTCCTTGTCTTTAATTAGAAACAGCTGCCACTGATTGGTGGCCTGTAAGAAGGGCAGCAGCTGATTGGCTATCTAACTTGCACCCTCCTTTTATGGAAAACTAATACCTGTGTCTTGGAAGAAGTTGTATGGTTCTCAGCCGTGATACCAGCCAGACTTTTCTGTACACTTTTTATCAGTAAAGTAGTTACTCCCCCCAGTACATAGATCCATACTCTCAATATAACACACATTATTAATTGACTGATTCTAAAGCGTCATCATGTTGCATGAATGTGTTTTGAATTTATAGACAATCTTTGTGGTTTTTCTGTTATTAAAGACCACTTCATAATATCCCCATTATTATGAGATAATATACACATTTAGTTTAGTATGAAAATTGACTGCCATCTTTTCAGTATCTTACCACAGATTAGTTCTGACTCATAATGTGATTGAGCTTGAATAGTGAGGCCACTATAATGGCCTTGAGATGGGATATTTTCTCTAACTTAGAGGATAATCTCTTCAATACTCCCAACCATCATATAGGCAAACTGACACATTGCTTATCCACAGATAGTTTTTGAACAGTCTTTTTGCAAACTTTCAAAGCAACAGAAGTCAGGGCTGCACATTTCAGAATATTCATACATAATACAGCTTTTTCTTCTTGCAGCACTGGAAAAATCCAAGATTCCTGCTTAATATCAGTCCAACACCAATTAAAATTCTCAGAGAAAATATCGCACAAGTTGAGAGGCACATACAACCCTCGGCAACAACTTAATAGGGCCTGCCGCTTTAGTAGATTTAATCTCTCTATGAAGGGCTCACACCTCTTGTTTAATCATTTTCAAAGCATTATCATCCTCTTATCATTTCCCTTAAAGCGTCTTTTTTTCACCTGATAAACTAAACTTAGCAAACGGTGACTGTATAGATATAGAAAGAATGACTTTTAGGTTTTGGCTAGGATTTGTGTTTTGTTTGATCTAAATTGAATGACTTTCCTGATGTGTGTTTATCTAGTATGTCTGGCTCTGTCACCTCTTTTAACCTCTGTTTGTTTGGTTAATTTTGATGTGTATCTAGACATTGTATATGACATTGCATTTTCTCTCTTTTTCTCTCAGGATGTTGAGGTACGCTGTAGTCCGAGGTGGCCTCGGCCTCTTGGCCGTGAGGAGGACATATCTTATCTCTCGCTTCGCCCACTCTGCCCCACAGAGCGAGTATCGACCAATCAAGAAAGTCATGGTGGCCAATAGAGGTAATCCAATACTCCATCCAAGTCCTAACAGTGCAAATTTACCACTGAAGAAGATAAGCAATTCAGACAGCACCATTAAATTAAATACATTTTAAATGCTGTTTCATTTATAATGTAAGAAAAAAGTTGTGACATTTACAATCTTCCCCATGCAAAAGAACAGACTCTCTTAATATTTAATGGCCAACATTTAGTTTGCCTTGGCACACGCTAATATTTAAGCACACATTGTACGTGGGTGGCTGTATAAGCTCGCTTTTGTTTGCTTAAATCCAGAAGCACTGAACTTCTTAAAATATTGGAAACAGAGGTGGAACTGCAACCATTGTCCTCATTGTACACTAGGAAGTTGAGTTTAAGAGTATGTATTCAACTGTTTCTGAATTGTATGCTGTACAGATGTATTTATTTAAATATTACTCATTATGAAAGCTATCCAGCATGTAGGTCTTTACATTTCCCAGAGCCTACATGAAACATGTTTTTTGATGTCTTAATACAGTGTATTTTTGTCCGCAAGACATATTGGACCCACCAATACAAAAGTATTTATTTTTTCCTTTCTTTCTAAACTGCTATAAATCACCATAAGTGGAGCCTATGTCACTGGGATTGAGATCTGAATAGAAATATAATTATAGAGAAGCCCAGAGTTTTCTAAACACCATGGAGTCACCAGCAAGGCGTAAACATCACTGATGTGCTCTGGTAATACTTATAATCCCCTGGACCCCCTTCTGTTAATGCTAATGCTGTCCAGAGAGGCCCTCAGTGTGCTATTAGTTTGACTCTGTCAGGTGACATGCAGGATTTGAGTGACAAATGAATGTATTCATGCTTTTTGTTCTAATTGCTTTTTAGAGCCTCCCATTATATTCATTCCTGCAGTCACATTTAAAATGCTTGATTTGGTTCAGTGTTTGATCATTTCAGATTGATCGCTGCATTGGGTTTCCAATACGATTCCAATGCTAGACATGTAGTGCTCTGTAGGTCTCTTGCTGCACATAAGTCTGCACACATTCATATGGACCCTCCCTTAAAGGCTCTATTTAACTGCTTTAATCCATCAATTTGATTCAAATAGATTGTGGTCTCTGCCATGCGTTCTCACACACACAGAGCAAGGCTTTCCGTCAATCTCTCTCCTTCGCATTGGCTTGACGTGATATCAACACCGCATTAGATTATATTCATCACGCTGGCGTGCGTGCGTGTGTGTGAGAGATGAAGAGGGAGACCGGACCATTGTATCATATCAGCCCAGATTCCACTTCGCAAGCACATCTCCTCTTTGCCATTGCTTCTCTGCTTTTTCACTAATATTCTCCTTTCCTTTCCTTTCCTTTCTGCTCTCCTCTCCTCCCTTTGCGCTCCCTGTCTTTTTCAGCACTTGTCAGATGTGATTTTCCTTTGAGCCACTTAATCTCTTCCTTTTTGCCCCATGTGACTTTGTTCCTTTCCACTCTCCTCTTTTCATTCCTTACTTCATATCCCTCTTTTTTTCCCCCTCCTCTGATTTTCTTGTCTAGTCTCCAATTATTTGTTAAACATTTAGTCAAACTTGCCAAACTGTGTTTCTCAGGTCCTCTGTGTTACGGTCCCTTTTCTCTTTTGTTCATTTCTAAACTTTCTGACCTCTCATTCTCTCTTCTGACCTTAAATCCATCACACTACATTTATCTCACTTCCCAAACCATCTCATCCTCTCCCCTCTGTCCTCTCTCACATTTTCATCCTTTTTTATGTTCTTACTCTCGTCCTTCTTCAGAACTCACTCTCTTTCTTGCTCACTTTTTCTCTTTCTCTTTTTTTTCATAGCTCCTCAAATGTTTGAATGCTGTCCTCCCCTTCAAGCAACAACAACACATCTTGCTGGCTTTCACTGACTAAACTTTTTTCCTCCCCCAAAATGTGTGTTGCTTGAAAAACAAGTATTTGGCTCCAGTGACAGCAAGATTAAAGGCAGGCAGTGTTTTGGTTGTCTAAAGCTGAGATTTTACACTGTGTTCTCAGCCTTTAGAAAAAAAACAGTAGACTTGTTGCAGTTTCTGTGGATATTTTTGCACAGTGTGATGAAGTATACCAGATAGACTTGTCTTGTTTTCACTTCTCATGTGTGGCATAAAAAATTCAAAGTGTATTTTATTCCCTCAGTGGAAGAGTTTGTTGCAAAATAGGGTCAATGCTACAGGATGTTGATAAAAAAAAAAGCGTATGCTTATGAAAAATAGAGAACTAAAACCTCCCACTACTTACAATCTTCTAAACTATGGATCAAATATTGTAAAAATGAAAATGTAGCAACGCAGAACACTGACAATTAGTAAAATAACCACATCCTTTACCATCTCCTTACAGGTGAGATTGCTATCCGTGTGTTCAGAGCCTGCACTGAACTGGGGATTCGAACCGTGGCCGTCTACTCTGAGCAAGACACTGGACAAATGCACAGGTACTAATCTCTGCTACATTAGAGCCGAATGGGTCCACACAGGTTTAAAATAAAGAAAGCGTAACCGACAGATGTCTTAGTAAACTGCTGGGCTGCCACTGCTGGGTATCGACCATAAAATGCTAACTGTTGATTAGAGCCAACAGCAATTAAAAGAAGCTGGGGAGCATTTTTCTCCTCTCCGCTTTGGGCCAGTTCTTTGTTTGGAGTTGGTATTAAGTAGGGACATAAGTATAATCGTATTGACATAACAAGCATTCAGGTAATCATGTTGCTTAGTTTACATACACAAACATCCTAATTTGCCTCTCTGTGAGCATTTTATTTCTACTCTGACTGTTTGCTAAAATGTCTTTCACTGACTAATAGATCTTGTTATGTGATTGTGCTTCCACCTGGTTCTTTCTATCCTGAAGGCTGATTGGAGCACTAATCTGAATAAGTAGGCTTTATTTGAGTAAATACTGGTGCCTACTCTTTACTGAGCTCGGATGTGCCGCCATGAAGCCATAATGGCTGTGTGTTTGAGAGCTGGTGTCCATCTGTGTGTTCTGTATGCTTTTGCTGTCTCCCTTCCGTCCCCCTGATATTCAATCCTTTGTCTTCACAGGCAGAAGGCAGACGAGGCTTACCTAATTGGAAAAGGCCTGCCACCTGTTGCAGCATACCTGCACATACCTGACATCATCAAAGTGGCCAAGGTAAAGCAATGCTATGAAAGGCCAATACTAAATTTGCTGTTTTACACCTTTTTAGGTCTGCCAGAATAGAAAAAATCTGTTCATAATCATGTGCATTACATACACAGTATTTATTTGTGAGAGTAGCTTGCAGTGCGACATCATACGTCAGCTCCATCTTGCACAGAGAAGTGATACAAATAGTAGAAGTTTTGAATAAGAACAGTGTCTCTCATGTTCAGAGACTTAACTAAGCTGAAATAAGCCATCCTGGTTATCTTTCTTTGAAGGCGTTTTCTTTGAAGTAGTTGTAGGAAGTCTTTAATTTGCATTAAAATAAAATTTAATCATTTTGTTTTATATTTGCTTTCTTTCTGGGAATGAAATGAGAAGATTATCAAACTGTAGTCTGTGGAGAGCCGTATCAGGTGGGAAATTAGCTCAGCATAAAGACTGGAATCAGGGGAAAATGGCCAGCTTGACTCTGTCCAAAGTGAAAAACTACAGATATTCTCTTGGGATACACTTTACATTTAGTTGTAAAGTCTTAACCTAATGGATTTCAATGGCATAGAATTAGGGTGACAAGTGACTGACAAATCCATTTTTATTTCTTTCTCTTCACCCTAAGTCTATATTTCGCTTGGTTGGAGGGAAGGAAACGGAAACAACTTCTTTCTGTTCCTCCGCAAAAACACCTGTCCCCCTGTTCATCTTTTCCTTTCTTTTTATCCATCGTTTTTACCTCCTCTTTCCTCCTCTTGTTCTTTGTTGCTGCCTCGCTCTACCATTTCCCTCCTTTTCATTCTTCATTCTTAATCTCTCTCCCTGTCTTTCTCCTCCCTCCACCACTTGTCACTATGTTAGATCAGGTCTGTTCCGTGTTACCTCCTTTCCCTCCCATCCTCCCTCCATCCCTTCAGGACACGCTGCCAGTTGTTCATTATCATTTTTCTGATCAATCTCTCACGGTTTATAATTTTCTGCGTGGGCATGTGGTCAGCCAGCCAAGTCAGGGAGCCTCCGCCGTCCAACTAATTTCTCAAAATCCGTCTGCCTATCTGGGAGCCCAGCCACTCCATGCCAGCAAAGTAGTGTGTGTGTCTGTGTGTGTGTCTGTGTTCTTTCTCTCCCGCTCTCACTCTTTCACATTCACTGTATGTTTACCTCTTCTTCACACTGTGTATCACTCTGTTACTGTGTGTGTGTGTGTGTGTGTGTGTGTGTGTGTGTGTGTGTGTGTGTGAAAGTATGAGCGTGCGTGTGTGTGTGTGTGTGTGTGTGTGAGAAAGTATGAGCGTGCGTGTGTGTGTGTGTGAGTGAAAGTATGAGCGTGTGTGTGTGTGTGTGTGAAAGTATGAGCGTGTGATCTTGCTTGTATGAATGTGCGTATCCGCGGGGCGTTATGTTAGCCTGTGTGTGTGTCTGTGTGAATCATCACCTGCTGTCCATGTCTCTTTGCATTCATGTCTTTGTGAGGTGTACCTGCTTGTGTGCATCCACTTGCTGCATTTTGTGTGTGTGGCTCCATGCCTCCCCTGGACTGCCAGTAACAGCTCCCTTAACAACGGGACAGCCCATAATTATAGTCCGCCTCGTATCCAAGAGCAGATGGCACATACTGATCCAGAGATGGCTCTATCTGTCAAGCTCGGCAGCTACTGTATCTGTCTGCTACCTTGTGTGTGCATGTGTATGTGCTCTCAGTACCTTCCCCCTGACCCTCAAATTATGCGTGCCTGTCTAGTCGCTCAGTCTCCCACTGGTGTCCATTGAGTAGATGATGATTAAGGTGATTGCAACTAAGATGGAGTGAGAATAAAATGTGCCATTAGCTCAGAGTCCCTTTGCCGTAAGTGATACGTACATCTTTTTCACTTGCCAGCAGGCAGTGTGTGGTAAAGGATGCAGGTTAGCGTGTGTTATGACTCTTTATTTCCCTCACCGATAGTCAGCCAAGTGTTAACTGGGGCCCTGCAGTGGCTCCCTATTTAACACAACTCCCGTTGCGTAGCTGGGCTACATTTCCTTTCTCTGGGTTTCACTGGCAAATAATTTTATTTAAAAAATGCTTAAGAGTGGGCACATTTGTTTCTCGACCTATTTAATTTAATGTAATGTGTTTCAAAGCAGTAAAAAGCCAAAGCCAACAGATACAATGCACATAAATATAATAATCTTTTCTCCGCCATCTGTCCCCCTCTCACTTCTTAGGACAACAATGTGGATGCTATCCACCCAGGCTATGGTTTCCTCTCTGAGCGGTCAGACTTTGCCCAGGCCTGCGCAGACGCAGGGGTGATGTTTATTGGACCATCCCCTGAAACGGTCCGCAAGATGGGAGACAAGGTGGAGGCTCGTTCCCTGGCCGTGTCTGCAGGTATGGAACGAGATGAGCATGAGGAACAGCATATTCCCAGAAAGGAGAGGTCGTGATATAATACATGCTATAATGTGTGTAGTATTTTCACTCTCTAACAAGATTTGTTTGTATCTACCTGTAGTATTATTGGTGAAAGTGTTTCTCAAGATTTAAACCAAATTTTGCCATAAACCCTGGTGCTTGTTGTCATGATGACTCACTCCCCCTCCTCCCTCCACCTTTCACCCTGGCATTGCTCTGCTAGCATTTGCTTTGGCTTTTACTCTCCAAGCATTAATTTTGTCTTTACTGTGGGTGATGAGCATTTTTAGAACATATATTTCACCCTTTAACTTCTAAGCCCATCTGTCACTGCAAGAAACTGTGAAAAATGAAGCTCTATTTATGTGGCGTTAATGGCGTCTTCCTCCTATTTTGCGCCATAAAGAAGTACCCTTCTGCTATTACAACAAAATTTGACCTTGTGAGACTCAAATGCCGTGTGAAGTTAGAAGTGCCTGGCAGTCTATAATATTTTTTTTGCTATAAAGTACAGCCTTTCTTACTTATTTATTAATTTTACTCAACCCACGCCCTGTTTTAGGTGTACCTGTGGTCCCAGGAACAGATTCCCCAATCTCCAGCCTGCAAGAGGCGCAGGTGTTTTCCCAGACATACGGCTTCCCAATCATCTTCAAAGCAGCCTTTGGAGGAGGTGGTCGCGGCATGAGGGTGGTCAGAGAGTACGAGGTGAGTCTGTCAGCCACTGCTCTACATGATCACGTCCGTGAGAGATGTAATTTAACAGCTTTATCTAACAAATAAATGTTGTGCAGCAAAGAGAAAACAAACCCAACTTGATGGCCGGTCGTCCTCATGACACATTTTGGTTTTAACATTCATTAAATTTCTGTTTGTGTTGAATCAAGGTAAAATCTCATGGAAATTACAACCTGGTCATTTATCTCGCCGGCCGCCAATCACCATGTGTGTTTGTGTTTTGGTGTATGTGCTCTGAACTTGCATTAGCAGAGGACATTAATAACATAATGTCTTTTAATATTGTATCTGTCACTTCTCAAAATACGTATCTCAGTATAAACATTTTACAGTACACGTGCTTCCTACAAGAGAGATCTTTAAATGATGAAATACCCTAACATACAAATTGCATACAAAAACATATAAGAACAGGAGGCAGGAAACGGTAGACAGGAAAAATATTTTCCTTTTTAAAGGAATGTCTTTCAATACCTAGTTTGAGGGCACATCCAGTTATGTGTTGTGCATCCCTTGGCGGATTTACATCTACCAATCTGTCACAGCCATCCTCATCTTCCTCCTCTCGGCAATGTATGGGTGCCATAACCCAGACAGCAATGATGGGCTGTCACAATAGCTGTCACAGTGATGACCGCACAGCACTCTGATGGAGAGAAGTATAGGCTAAAACTGGACTTTTTGGGTCATATTACTCACCATGTTCTGGAGTCTAGTAAACAATCTTATTAACTGTTAACATATGCTCATATGAAATTAGATTAATCCTATCTGGTCAACATGCCACTTTTTGCTTGTTCTAGGTATTTTTTCTTGGCTATGAAATGTCTGGTTCCCAAGTATTTTATAAGAATAACAATTTTATGAGTGAGTGACATGTGCCAGCTGTCACCGCTAGATTGCAGACTTGCTCTACATTTGCGCCCTCATCTACTTCAAATAAGAACCCAAAGAATAAAGGCAAACGTAGTTTCCTTTCTTATACATACTTCAACATCATAATGCAACAATACGTATATGAGGTCCAGAAAACTAAAAAAACTGTACATTATGAAAACGTTATGCATTATTTATAGAGTAGCCTCTTATACAAAGTGTGGTGATAGTCTGTATATACAGTGATTCTGTTTGTTTCGTCTATGTTGAATATGCTGTGTGTTTAATAGAGTTATTAAAATATATTCATAAGGCTTTTCAGCACAGACAGCCAACAGCTGCTTACTCACTGTAAGTGGTGTTTTGGGAGATGCTTGTGAAAAATTCAGAATGGATGTAGAGTTTTAACCTCCAAGAAAAACACTCTTGACCTCAGTTGATAGTTATTGGAAAGTGGGCCAAGCAGGGCCAATAATACTATTTCACTTGCCATGGTTCAGTTGTAGGGTAATTATGATTTTATTTATTTGTTTTTAAAAAAAAAAACAATTGTACATTATTAATGGTCAAATAAAACCTACAGATTTTTTTTTATTTCCCTGGGAATATCCTTTTAGTGGATGATTATATCCAAAATATGTGTCTCAAAGGGAAAATTAACTCCTTAAGGCCTGTAGACACCAGGAAGTTGTCACCCCTGTTTATTTCAGTGGAGGCCTGGTGGCAGCTTTGCTTCATGTGCCAGCAGTAAGAGGGGCACTGGAGGGGGGGGGTTTGCCTCTCAAGTTTGACAATGTCAAACTTTTTCAGCAGGCAGCTGGTTGTTGTCCAATCAGATGGAAGAGGACAGAACAGTGGTGAATCAACTGCACAGAGCCACGCCACCTCCTCATCCTTTATGGCTCATAGTGTTCACGTTCTTTATTTCTTTGCTTTAGCTTTTTGAAAAACAAAGATTGTGTAAGTCACATTACATTAGGTTAAGTCACTACTGTAACTTTGTAACCTACCCAAAGTCCCACATTAATTTAAAATATTTGTGTTTTGAAATATCCAAAATATGCTTCCTGACTGTTAAGTGACCCTTACTCGCCACTGATCTACACAAGCAATGGTAGCACTGTGTTGCGCTGTAGTCATTGAGCCTTACAAGCCAACAATCCATTGGAAAATATGACCTTTTCTGAGTTGTAACCCAGTCTAATTAATTAGTTGTTGACATTTATAGTTATTCAGTTGAGTCACAGGAGCCTCGGCAGCTCCAGCTGACATGATGTGAGGAAATTGTAAAGAGGTTTTGTTGTACTGTTGGGGCCCCAAGCAACAATGCGTAGGTTGACTTTTTATTCCATTAAAGCCAGCTTGTGGGTCATTTGTATGCTGAATTAACAGAATGAGCCTAACTATTCTCAACATATTGTAGGATGAGATGTGTATGTTTACTGATAAGCGAGGCCAAATTAAAGTGCCAGATTTTTGCTCAGAGTTTGACGTGATGTGCTTTCCCAAAGAGTGAGAGAAAAGGAGAACGGCACGTATCAAAGCTCCAGTGGCCAAGCTGACAGACAGACTGAACTGATGTGGAAGGAGTACAAATGGAATTCTGCTAACTTTGAGTCTTTCAAAAGTCTTTTCTGTCATTTACAAAAATAGAGGTGCACCAATGATTTGACAATGCTAGGTGTGTGACTTTGAATTTATTTCCCAACACTTCTAATTCAGTGCGAGTTGTGCGCATTCTTTTAAATGGCTGCTTATGTTTTTACATATGCCCATTTCATTACATAGTAAGTTTATTTGTCTAACAGCTGTAGAAGCCAATTTTTTGTAGACACGCTGTGGAAGATGAGTGGAGATTGAAATAATTTGTCATGTAGGCTGCAACTATGTTATTTTAATTAGTGATTAATCTGCCACTTAATCTATCAATTAATACTTTTGTCTATAAAATGGCTATACATGAACACCACAATTTTTCAGAACCTAAGGTGAAATTTTCAAAAGGCCTGTCTTTTCAACAGTTCAAATGTGTTCAATTTACTATCACATAAGTTAAAAAATAATAGATCCCAAACTTTGTAATGTGTAATTTTGTAAAATGTTTGATGTTTTTGCTTATATTTCAGCTCTATTTATCTACAATCACTTTGAAATGGAATTATATGACTAATGTAGTTGGTGATGTTTAAGGTCAGCACTTTGCAATCTTGTTCAATCATAAATACAGACAGTGGGAGGAAGGAACAGAAACATATGAGAGGTTAAACATATATAGAGCCCTGTTGGAATGATCTTCCTTTGTTCAGAGAGCTAGAATTATACACAATCGTGATTGCTACTGCATGAATAAACCCCTATGTGTGTGAGACAGGGTGGTATGCACAGTTTGACTGCTTTTTTTTTTTTTTTTTTTGACTAAAACCATTTTGAGGCCTTCTGTATGGGAATTTTAATCTGTCATAACAAACCCTGATGGCACTAAATCTTATGATCTCATTCTTATTGGTATCCTTCATCTGGTCTGATCAGATGTAAGAACTGAAATGTAGTTTTTATTTTAGTTTTTCTAGTCAATCAGTGACATTGACAGTTTTGTTTTCAAGCCAGTCTTGTGCTGTTTTCTAGAACCGCTTTGATAAAAACACAGGCCTGCTTTTGGCGATGCTGATGACGTCTGCTACTGCGTTGAGCACCTGGTTGTTTTTTCTCAAAGAGGATCTTGTCTCAAGGCTATGAGATGACAGCTGTGGATGGGCTCGAGTATCCTCTCCTGAGGCAGAGGGAAGAGGGCGTGATTGGTGACTCAGTCGCTCCCCAATAGAGGAGGCTGGACGGGGCTGGCAGGACATCACAGACTGACAAACACAGATTGAATCATGACCTTTAGCATGCTCGGTCGTGACCTCCTACAGCCTGGTCCCAGAGATGTTGTGAAGAATCTTGCTCCCTAAGGGCGTGTAAACATTTGTGTCAAAAGAGAGGGAAATAAAATAGATTCCATTAGGAAATGACAATAAAACTAACTGACCTGATGCAGAGATTAAAGGATGTTGAAATATAGTCTGTGCAACACCAAAACTCCTTGAAAAACCACACAAATCCTTTGCAGTGACTCTCTTGCTTCTTGAATAGCAGCACTAACTCAGACACATATGGATTTTTCTTGTCTGTTTGTCAGGAACTTGAGGAGAATTACCAGCGGGCCTACTCTGAGGCCCTGACGGCTTTTGGGAATGGAGCCCTGTTTGTTGAGAAGTTTATTGAAAAGCCAAGACACATTGAGGTGCAGATCCTTGGTAAGTGCACTCTACGACTTACTTTGTGTTTGCCTTTAACTATGTGTCCGTTTTTTGTTTATGTGGATGGATCAAAGTTCATTAAGTAGCATAGAGGTCCTTGAACTGAGTAGCAGCACTGAGGGAGGAATAGAGACGGATGAACAATGAGAGTGAATGAGATTTATTGGCCAGCAGAGGATTCTCCAGCCATTATTTCTTATTATAGTGAATGTAACTCCCTACTACCACTCAATATTATAGAACTGAAATTCAACACCGACACTTACAGGAACTGTGTCTGCACTTATACAGTACATGTGGATGTGTATTTGTGTGTGCATGTTCACGTGTACATTACTGTAAGTGCTATCGGTCATCTCTCTCTGATTTGTGTGTTTATGTGCATGTTTCAACATTTCCCAGGGAGGGTGTGTGTGGGTGTGTGTGTGGTCATTGTGATTAATTACTGTCTTGAGGGCATTCAGTGATTTTGTGAATTTTCTGAATTACCTGTTAAAAGTCATGTCTTTGCCAGCCCTCTGTTTTGCTGCCTTCCCAATTTCCCTACTTCCTTCCTTCACTCTAAATATAATAATTTCCAGTTTCTCCCCTTTTTGTATTTCTATTTTATTTTATTTTTGAAAACTATACATCTCAAATGTATCAGAGTACACAGTATTAGTACCACTGCAGGTAGGTTCACACTGCACTGCACAAAACCAGTGTACAGTCTAGCTTAAAAAACTAAAAGAAAAGGAAAAAATGTTTGTCAGAAATGTCATAGTGCTAGCATGTACATGCCACCGAGCTAGGAAAGGGAGCTATTCTGCTAGCATGTTTACTGCCAGCTAACCACCATTGGCGTTGGAAATTACTATTACATATACATACAGAACCTGATTTGATAATCAAATAATTGTTTTGAATATTTATTTTTAGGAAAAATTGCAAAATTCAGTGATTGCAGCTTTAAATGTTTCACTGTTTTCTAAAGATGTATAACTATATGATAAATCAATTAATTGATAAAATAACTGACAGATGACTGAATTCATAATGAAAAAAGAATGACATGTAAGAAATTCTCTTAAATAGATTTCCCATGACTGTGTTTAATAAAGAAAAGTAAAAATGGTTATAGTTCTTTGTGAAAGGATTGTAAAAAGACAAGAAAGGTCATCTTTAATACAAAACGTTTTGTTGGGCTGTCATTTTTTCATTATGAAACATTTCTCAGTCATTCACTGAACTCCCCATTCATTCATGCTGTATACAGATTGGTTGGTTTAAAGATGTTTAAAGCTGTAGCAGCAGTCACATTGTCTGTTGGCCTTCAATGGATGTGCCTCACAGTGTACCTAGGTGCAAATAATTTTTCATTCACTCTTTCTTCACTTGAATTCAACTGCTTCTTTTCTTCCTGCCCCTGATTGTCTTATAATTTTCTTTATTCTTCCTCACCTACTGCTCTCTTTGTCCTCTCCTCTGTCCCCAGGCGATAAATATGGTAATGTCATCCACCTCTACGAGAGAGACTGCTCCATTCAGCGGAGACACCAAAAGGTGAAGTCCTCATTTTAAAATTCATCTAACCCAACTTAATGTTTGAATTTATTTTAGATTATCTTCATGGCATTTCTGCTGTATTACGTAGATTAGCATGAAGTGGACGGTGGTGGTGGTTGGGCATGAAACAAAGGTCATGAGCAAGAATAGGCACTGCAGTCTGCTGAATCTACAAGACTGTAGTGTTTTATTTCCCTTTTCTTTAGGCAAACGGGCCAATTAGGCAACATATTAACAAATAAGGTGATTATAGTCCTGATTATAGCAATGATTATTATGGCACTGGTGGCCCTGGGTGTCCTTAGCTGCAGGGGGTAAGAGGATTATATACCAATAAAAATTAGCCACTGCTAAGGCTGTGTGAATTGGAGTCTTGGCAACAACTGAAGCAACAACATCATTCTCTACTAAATCAACTTAGATAAACAAAAACAGTGTCTTTTAAGAGTATATAGATTTGATTTAAATTCTCATTAATTAGTCAGGGCTAGTCTTCCAGATATTTCAGCTTGTTCCGGAAAGAAATTAGTTATTACAGCATCACAGAAATGTCTGAATATCACATAAAAGAGAAAATGGGAACTGTCATCTAATCGTCAGTCAATATAACAATGCTTTCATCATAGGAAGCTGATTAACACGTGTAATATTTCATTACATATTGTCACCTCAAAGCAGTTTCAATCATGCGTTTTCATCATTTTCCTCCTCTCCCTTTAATCAAATTATAGATGATAATCATATTAGCAGCTCTGTTCATGCCAGAGCTGCTGCTCTTTGATTCTGTAAGACTTAATCTGCCTTTGCCCTTAATCTAAGATCTTTTTGAATCTCAGAAACAAGAATAGTTGCTTGTTGAAATAGATTAGGGATGGTAGAGCGCCGATAGGATATTTTTAGCTTTTTCTCTGTCTTGGAAGTGATATTCATACTTGGAGAGGGAAGAGATTTGATACAAATTTTAATTGAGTTCTTGTGGTTTTTATTTTTCAAAATCAGACATGGGTCATGTTGTTTTGAACTGGATTCAATTATTACTTTTAGCTGGGTTGACTTGTTTGACACAGTGGAACGAAACAGATCAGCCTCCAACAAACCCCACCCACCCAGCAGCCGTTGCAACACCAAATGAAAGACTGAATGAGACCACAAATGATTCACTCCATCTGTTTTGCTGAAGCTAAAGTGACACATAATGTGTCAAACTGATGCCTACTGCAGGAAAAATGAAAACAAATTGTGGTATTTACTAAATGTTAGGAGGAAAGTAACTAAGTACTTTTACTATCTTAAGAATCAGATGTGAACTTGGAGAAAATCTAGGGGCAGTATTTAGTGCTATAGCAAAGTCAGGGAGTGCATTTTTGAAGCAACATTAATTGATACTTTTATAAAAACAATGGATCAAGCAACTATGTATAAAGTATCAAATCACTTAGAGACTCCAAACAAATATATTTTAGCATCTTTCAGCACATTGTTTTGGTTTCATGGCCTGCAACTTTACTGTCTTTGTTCAATCTCACTGCACAAAAAGCTCTGATAAACCCACTACCACAAAACAGCAGACCGCAGGTGAACATAATGGATCATGTTCTGTGATGGAAAAGACATTGAACTCAAATAATATAACATCCATTAAATTAAAGGGATGCGAGGTAGCATAGCATGGCTTTTCTGAGTTGATAACCACTGTATCTTAAAACACTATCTATGAATTTAAATCAGTCATACATTAATAAAATCATTTTAGAGCTGGCGTGTCAGGCTAAATTAATCAAAGCTGACAAAATGTTTTACCCAAGTGCCAAAATGATTTAATCGCACTTTTAAAGATGCAGGATTTGTGGATGTAGATAACAGAGTTAAAATACACAAATTTTCATTGTTTGTTGTTATCCTGACATTATCAGTTTGCTGCATTTACGTTCTGACAGTGTTGTGGTCACTTATTGATAAAACCTTGTTGTTTTGAAGGTTGTGGAGATTGCACCGGCTTTCCAACTGGACCCTCATCTGAGAAACCGACTTCACGCTGATGCTGTCAACCTCGCCAGACAGGTATGTTTGTGTGTTTTGTGTTGAAGCCGATACAGAGCCCTTGGGATTTCTGCTGTCTCTTACCACCTTTCTTGTTTCAATGTCGTACTGGCCATACAGGATAACTAGACCATTACATTACATTCTGGAAAATGCTCAGGAATGAATGGAAAGAAAACCCCCCATCATAATCATATTTAATCATAGTGTAGAAAATGAGTAGGCGTGTATTGAAATAATGTTGAATAATCAAGGTGCTGTGGCCTGATGTTAAGGCAGCTTATTATAGGAAACAGTATATCCTCTAAAATGTCAAAGCAGGTGTCAGTAGGTTGAATGTGCAGTGTTAAAGAGTTTTGACTACTTTAACTGAAGATGCAGACTTCAGGTGAAATAGCTCACTGAAAGTGAAAAAGCCAGGCGAGGATGCTGAAGCACTGGGTTGTATTAAGGGAAGTCTGAACAAATTCCCAACGCTATTCATTTTTCTGTCTATAATTGGTCTGCAAAACAACTGGATTCTCCCCAGGAATTTTAATTCACTATTTACCTGTGATTCAAAAGAGGAGGACATTAGTGCGTTGCCAAACTGCAAAAATGAAAATGCAATTTGAAAATGGGTGGAAATGGTTGTCAGCTGTGCAGACAGTAAATGCCATTCTGGAAATGAATGTTTGAACAGTTTTTGAGTGCATTTCTCAGGAACAATTTTATGATTGTCACCTATTGTGCACTGAGATTAGGTACAAAATGCAAAACATTCCCTGCAAAGTGAAAGCTCTCCTTGTATTTAGCCTTTTAAAAAAATCATTTATATCACAGTCGTCTGGCTTTAGTGTTGCCGAAAAGTTGGCTCAACTATGACAGCATCACTTAAAGTCAAGCCTCATCTCTCACAGGAGATTTCAAGTAATGGCCTTTTCAGGTAATGGCCCAGTTGAGGAATGGATAGAAGTAAAGAGAGAAGAGCGGGAGAAGAGGATGTAGACAAGGATGGTGATTTGCTAAAGCAATGACCTTGAATGATACTGATGGAGAAATTGTTATATAAGAGAGCGAGAGAGATAGGAACTTTATATGAGACTCGTGATGTGACCTTGCTTTCTGCTGTAATCAAATCCCAACATCACCCAGCATGTCTGCTTAAAGTGACGAACCATGTCTCCTTGTGTGTGTTTAAGAGCAGCTATGGAGAGCTCTTATCCATGACTTTTGAATGTTATCATGAGTGATGTCGCTCCTTAAACAGACAATGTGTGCATGACAGGTATCAACAAGAGTACAGTGCGCATTCTCACGCACACACCTATTTACTATTCTTGACATGACCGCGGTTGACTCAGTGCAAGGACATGTTTCAGCTCCATCACACAGGCACCACTGCAACGTGCTGTCTGTCGAGAGCACTTACTGTTGTTGTTGCATACAGCAGGAAGATTTTCTCCTCTTTCCAGACCTTGAATCTAAGATTAGGATAATCATTTCAGATGATGATGTCATATAGAAAAAGGACTCCAAACAAACCCCTCACCAGAAAGTTGGGGTGTCCACTCCTATGGCTACTTCCTAATCTTCTCATGTTGGACTGAGAGCAGACTGGATGTAACAGTGACTCACTATCGCCTATTGAGCCAGGCTGGGGCTAGCTGGTTAGCATGCTAACTTCAGTAGATATCTTTGACACAATATATAGACGTCTTTGACATGACGTTAAAACTGTTATTTCTTCACATACTGTTGAGCTTTAAAGGAATGGTTTTGGGAAACTTACTACATATTTTTATTAGACCTGTAAGCATAAATACTAGAACAGTTAGCCTAGCTCTGTCCGAAGGGAAAATACATCCACCTCTACAGCTCCCTAATTACACACAACTGAAGGATCAAACCAGCAGCATTTGCACATTATCACCAGGGGTCTCACTGTCTCTCTGCCTCATCTTCCATTTATCTTGTTCCAGACACCCCTCTCCTCCCCGCCCGCCCTCCCTCCTGTTGTTGCATTTCCCTGCTATGTGTTGTGATTGCATTTCACATTGTGCCAGTCCCCACAGTAGAGGCTTCCACTTCAGAGCTGAGCCCAGCTCTCGCTGCAGGTATTGGAACCTGCTCCCTAAGCAACACTGAGGCCGAACTTTGGTACTTTGTTGGGTATTATTTGTGTGTGTGTGTGTGTGTGTGTGTGTGTGTGTGTGTGTGTGTGTGTGTGTGTGTGTGTGTGTGTGTGTGTGTGTGTGTGTGTGTGTGTGTGTGTGTGTGTGTGTGTGTGTGTGTGTGTGTGTGTGTGTGTGTGTGTGTGTGTGTGTGTGTGTGTGTGTGTGTGTGTGTGTGTGTGTGTGTGTGTGTGTGTGTGTGTGTGTGTGTGTGTGTGTGTGTGTGTGTGTGTGTGTGTGTGTGTGTCACAGCCTGCTTTGTATGTGTGTGACAGTGAGAGACGGAGTAAAGAAACATTTATTTTTAATGTGTTCTGTGGTCCTTATAGAATAGAAAAGTGACGGAGATGGTACATTTGTGTTGACATAAAACCAGTTATTGTCTGTAGAAAAACACACATTAAGATGCCTGTGGTTTTCTCATGCGCCCAGTTTTCCATAGTTTAGTACTCTTATGGAGACATTGGGACTCGAGCTCTGTCAGTGCTGCACTCAAAGGTAGGTGCTCAGACACCTTAATGCATCCGGTCCAATTTGGAGTGTAATTAAAACCTTTTCATTTTAATCCGCTGCTCATTGGAACGTAATGGCATAGTGTTACGGACATTAAACTGCACACATACAGTCTCTCCTGCTTGTGCTTGCACCCACACACCAGACCACACCATAGAAAAGTCTCCCACTCTTGTAAAAACACACTTGGTATACACATAGAAAGATATCCTGTATAAATAGAAAGATACACTGGATGATATACTGTCCCCAATCTTGATTCTGTATGCTCACACACTCAGGCATATACACATTTTTCTCCTACTCCTGCACACACCTGCTATTTCTCTGCTCTTATCCGGTCTTAATGGTGGCTCCAATAGGGCAGGCGCTCTGTTCCCCTTCATCTCTCGGTCTGTGCGTATCGCCCATCTTTCCATTATCAGCAGCCTCCATCTGAGTCTTTCAGAGAGATGGCGCAGTCTTTGAACTCACTGCAGGCCGCAGTATTTCCTGATAGAATGTCCTAGAGAACAAAGTTGCCTGGCAACACTGACGGCTGCAGGAAGTTACTTCTAGCTTCTCTGTAAAAAGGGTTTGAGCTCAGAGTGGATATCAAGCAGGAGCTCACAAGAAAATCAGAGATATTGTCAAATGGCCTGTTAAGCTGTTGTGGGTTATCTGCTGCACAAACAGCTGATTTTGTATACTTGTTTGTAAATGCTTTTATTCTGTTTTTTTCTCTTTTCAGTTCTTTGATTGTCTGGCTGCCAGGTCTTTGCTTCGTTGTCTTTGTGTTTACAGGGGAAAGGCTGTGGCTGACATTTCATTTAAACAACAAATGCAATATCTCAACCAGTCCTGATTACTTTTATTAATGATGCATCTTACTGTAGTGGTGTGAGGTTTTCTTCATCACAGTGATTGGCCCACTGATTGGGCGCCTCATTGCCTGCTTATTCATCCACGTGCTGCATATGATAATTTTGGCTTTTTTCTTTGATATCTGTGTTGCTGTGCAGCAGTTATATTGGGTATTTTTCTGCAGTGGGTTGAGAAGGTTTGAATAGATGGAGCTGCAGGTATCAGCAGGGCCCCTCAGCTTTGTTTTTTTTATGGTGAGCATTAGTTTCCCCTTAAAACCCCCTCTCTCACCCTTCAACAAGTTATACATGCTGTCTATGAGGCATGCAACATTTGTGCACAAATGGGCTGTGGTTAACCCACCCAACGCACATGCTGCACACTCCTATGATAGACTACCACACAGACATAAAACAACATGCCTCACACTGTAAATGTAAGAAGATCTGTTCAATTTAATCTCCAATGTAGCATTGCCATGAAATCGTTGTGTCAATAACAAATGAAAAAGGGGTCTATTTGTTGTTGACTGGCAATCCAGGCAACTGCATAATTCACAAGGAAGAAATATTTACTGTTGTTTGACAACCATTCCTTTTTGCTGGACTGCTGGATGGCCAAGGCATTTAATGACCTCTCAGTAGGGGTGCATCTTGTGGAACTGTCATTTAAACCCATAAAGTCATGGGGTCAAAGATTTCAGCTCCTGACAGTGTTCCCATAAGCTCTTGCCTACTCTTATAGGCAGGTTTCTTCCTTCCCTCTATCACTTTCAAACCATCAGTATTTCAGCTTTGGTTGACACGTGGATAACCTCCAACTGAGACATTGTTTTTCTGGCTTTGACTTCATAAATACTGTCAATAAGTCAAATCCAGGAGCAGGAACATTATAGCTTGTATAAAGTTTAGGTGGGGGTTGGTCAGCTTGTCAAGACTAGTTTTACCAGTAGTCAATTGCCCATTCCCCCCTCTACTTCTGAACTTGCAGTTTACTTTCAACACAATCTTTTCAGTGTTTATTGCTTTTAATGTTTTTTTTTTGTGTGCATAAAAATGAAAAGGGCTACATTATAATGCAACAGTTAGGTCAGTTAGATCATTTGGTTGTGTATTCGTTGTCTTCTACTGTAGTAATTAGCCATACTGTATAATGGCAGAAGATTATGCGGAAGCCCCTTTTTTAGTGTCCAGATCAAACCAGTGGCTCTGCAGAAGTGCTAGATCTGTTTCTGTCAATATGGTAGTGTGATGTCTTTAACTCAGTTGGTTTTTGGGGTTTCCTTTGCTGTACAAAAGGGGTTTTTATATTCTGTCCAGAATTAGTAATACAACTGACATTTTTTCCTGTACTGTGGTGCACTGACCCACAGTTTGGACTTTTTCACACTTTTTCCAGTGAATCTTGGAGCTGTCTTTATGTTGCAGTTTGGCAGCAAGATTCTGCGCTCTTTCCAAGCTTCTATATCATGATTGGGATTTGGCAGGCATAACGTGAGTCTCTGATCCAAAA